CTTCTTTGGTTGATAAAAATGTAGTATCTAACAAAAATGTTGAGAAGGAGTTTTCTTTGAATAAAAATGGTGAAATGGGTTCAACTTTCAAGAAGAGAAAGAATATCGTCGATCAATCTTTGGAAGATACCGCAAGCTCTCCTCTCAATACTCCCAAGGTTTTTTTTTCTCTTTCGATTCTCTTCTTAATTTTCCTTTTCCCTAGCTACAACATTGTTTGTTTTTTGTTTGCCAAAAAAAAATCATTAATTAATCTTTTTTGCCATAAAAAAAGTACATGTATACCTAAACCTAAAAATACATTGAGCAAGGTTCACACAGACCATTCATAAAATAAGTTGGCCAACTACAACATTAAAACTTGTTTAAAAATTCTAAACAAATAAATTCATTTAACTTTTTTTATATTTACAAAAAATTATTTTTATATTCAATAATTTAAAAATTATTTTTAGAAATATAAAAAACTATTCTATGTTTGTTTACCATTTATAAGAATATTTTTCTAAATTAAGTAATCGATCTAAAATGATTTTTAAGAGAAACTAAAAAGCTTCCCAATTTAAGTAATTTCTAGATTCTCATTTACTAAAAAAATGGTAACAAACATATAAAAAAACTCCTAAAATTTAAAAGGTTAACATCTAACAAACTTGTCAACATAGTTCTATAGTTTATCCATGGTAACTCGCACATATATAACTACACAAAAAAAAAATATAAGTATATTATAATATAAGGTTTCCAAGTGCATAAGAATTACATAAAAACTACACTTTAAATAAATAAATAATTTATTTATTTTCCTTTTTTTCTTATAACCTTTTGTTCTTTCCAGTGGTATACATATAGTAGTGTTTCACATGCAAGTTTGGTTGTTATATGATATATTAATGAATTTTTTAGTAACAAGTGAATAATGTTATTCTGTAATTTTGTGTGTAGGAGAAGAGAAAGGCAATAGTTGAGGACAAAAAGAATTGAGTTTAAATGAGAAGGATAGTGACTGCACAGAACTAGAGAAGAGATGTCTTTGTATAGTTCATTTGTGAATATATGGTAGCAAATCATCTAACTAGGTTGAGTAGCTTTTTTGTTAAACGTATATATACAATTTCCCAAAGGATCCAATTCTAGACATTATAGTCCCATGAGTATATGTTGCCCCCATGTCATGTCAAGGACCATTTATCCTCAATAACTTAAATAACTTTTGTTTCATTTATTAATTGATATGTAGTGTATATGTAGATTTATAACACGGTAAATCATTTATAGTAGTTAGACTACTGATGTTTTACCAGCTTAAACTTTTTACCACCAAAAACATTTCAACAAATCATGTTAATGATATATAGTTTTACCATAAGCAAAAATATATACATATTATTGGGTTCAAGTGTAAGTGATTAAATATCATGTTGATTATGAAATGGTAGAATGTTAAATATGTAAGAGAGATGAGATGAGTCATATACATAACACTTTAATATTTTGAATGAAGATGTATTGTCTTTTACTATTGTGATTCTAGAGTATTGATTATGTATTTGTTCTTGACTTTTTGATTCTCAAACAAGTAGTCCGAGAGTCTTAGTTGGTGGGACACTAAAGGTTAGATTCTAGGTTATAAGATGTTAGAGACTTTTAAGAGAGAAGTTGAAATGTTTTTTGAGTGGATATATCAGATTTCTCTTTCTTGTAATGTTGGTACATTTGTCTAGTTGTATCATATTTATATATAAATAATATATTGCTATTAAAAAAATATTATTTAAAAAAATATTTTTTTTAAAAAGTTTTATTTTTAAAACTTATTTTATGATACAAATATATGGTTGTATCATTAATTAACTTTAATATTGTATTAACCACAAATGTATGACATTAATTAATTATTTTATTTAAATTTATTAACTACTTTTAGTATTTTATTAAACAATAAAATATATAATATTAACCATATTTAAACACTAAATTAGAAATGTATTAATCAATTTTTATATACTATTAACCAATTTTATTTTATTATTTAATATTTTTTTATGTTTGAGAACTCATTAACCCAATTATGAACTGTATTAATCAATTTTATATAAATTATTAACCAAAATCTAAATGGTATACATATTAATTTTTTTATATCAAAATATATCTTAATCAAACTTTGATTTGTATTAACTAAGTTTTAATATTTCATTAATCAAAGTAATTTAAAAAAAATTCAAAAATTTAAAATAATAATAAAATTATTGTTCACATATTTATAAACCATATATTGGGTGTAAGTGTAAGAATATGGTGTCAAAATAATCTATATATATATATATATATATATATATATATATATATATATATATATATATATATATATATATATATATATATATATATATATATATATATATATATATATATATATATATATATATATATATATATTTGAAACTCTTTAAATTAATACTTGGTAAATTAATAAATTCTCTAAAATAATAAATTTGTTCGTTCCCGACTTGGGCCAATGTAAAAAAATGAAAAACTCGATAAAATAATAAGATAATAATTTTTCGGGAGATCTCTTTATAATTTTTAGTCCCAAGAAAATCATAAATTAATAATTCATAGAAACTGAAAAAAAAATATTACACTTTATTGAAATATGATTCAATAGTTGTCTATTTTGCTTTAACGTTCAAGTCTATTTGGAACTCATCTCTAATTTTTCTTATTGAATCAAATAGCTCAGGTGTTGTATTTTTGTATTGTATCATAAAGTTGTGAAGTATGTTCGACGCCATAAGTGCTTCCTTTCGCGTAACAGGCTCCAAAGACACTGTATCATCTTCGTCGTCATCCTCTGCATTGCTTTCAATGATAGTACCCACAATATCTTCTAAACTCTGAACCTCCGAACATACTTCATTTTAACCTGAGTAGTTCATTAGATTATCGATATCCATCTTATTATGATAGCCACATTGATTAATCATAGTCTCGAGGTCTTGAGTTTCTTCATCAAAAATGGATTCATCCATATTTCTTGCAATGTCTCTTGTACTTACCCAACTTCTTACGTATTTGATCTGACATAGTTGATTTTGCAATATCTTTTAGATGAGAAGCCATCTTGTGAGATGTGGTTTGAATACTCTAACTCATTCATATAATTTATATATGTCAAACTTGTTTAAGAATACATCAAACACATTTGTTCCTCTTGTTTACATTTACTGTACTTCAAAAGTAATTATTGATTTCCAATGCATGTGAACACACTAGTTACTAATTTACGTCGAGTCTCAAGGTTCGCTGCAACGTAATTTTAAGAGACGTAGACTAATTTATCTTTTTGTTTGGTATGTATAATATAACTACTTAAAAACTCTTTAAATTAATAATTATTAATTTATCGATAAGTTAATAACTCTCTAAATTAATAAATTTCTTGTCTTGACATTATTAATTTAAAGACTTTCTAATATATATATATATAGAAGTGAAAAGAATTAGGAACCAAAATGGTGTGAAGGGGTTTGAGAACATGACATTCTCCTAGATAAAGAAGTGAACATCGTAAATAAAGTTTTTATCATTTTATTTGAATCAGAATATCACAACGTTAATTTGATGTTTTTCATTAAAAATCAAAAGGATATAAACTTTCTGCTGAAATATGATCTTGTTACTCATTCTCCATTGAGTCATAACCTTTCTTAAAACCAACTTTAATTATATGACCTCAAAAAAAAAAATCTATTTTTTGTGTTGTCCACCACTTCATTGGTGATTAAAATATTTAAAATTTGTCATCCTTTTACAAAAGTTGTATTAATTTATCAAATTAAATGGTCAATGCTATTTAAAATCTTTGCTAGACTTTATGAATGCACTATTTAGGTCTCCATTTTTTTCTTAATCTTTTCTCATTCTCTCAAATTTTATCTCCTCTCACATTTGAGATTATATAATTAAAGAACGGGGTGAGGGAGTAATGAAAACATATGAATTGAAGTTTTCTTTGTTTGTTTCTGATCTACTCTGTGCATATACAATAGCTTAACACAAATAGTACTACTGATCATATATATATATATAGGACAAACTCTGCATGAAAGCACAGAAGAATCATATGTACAATAAATAGAAAGGTGGGTGTGAGTAGTAGGCTGAATACTATACATATATTAAGCTTAGACTATCATTTGACTCTGACTAGAGAATTCAGATAAACAATCAGCATATTCTGATTGCATACAATTAACACCAATTAAAGCTGCAAAAGGGTTTTTTGTTACTTCAATGCCAAATTTAATGCATATCATATTTTTTTATAAGATTGGTAATACTTTATATATATATATATTTTTATAAGCAAAAGCATTTCAATAAATAGCATAAGGAGGTGTCAAACCCAAAAATACAACAAACTTACAAGAAGATGAACCATCTCAACAAAACAAACCCATCTACCGGAAAATTAAAATTCTTAAAGGACTTCAATACATAAGTCAGGATCGACAAACCAATTCGACTAAATAACATAACTTTTGTCCTTTGAACAAGAAATGAGCCATTCAAAAGCTAAAAATTTAGTCATCCCAACCACATCAATCTTACCCCAAAAACTCTCATTTAAAAAGAATATTATTCCTACAAGACCAAATAATCTAACAAAGAGTCAAACCAAAAAACCAACTTAAATATAAGATAAAGTAAGACTTACACGCTAGCGCCAAGGCTTGAATGCACTCAACAATAGAAACTTCCAACAAGGAAGCATTGATACAAAATCAATCACAAAACTTTCTCCACAATCATCTTGAAACATAGCAAGACCAAAAATATTATGTCAAACAAGACATTAGACAACACTTTTTTTGGCTTTTAATAGCGCTACTAAAAGTAAAGACAGCGCTTTTTTTCAATGTAAAAGCGTTGTTTTATGCCCACTTTAGACAGCGCTTTCTTATGCACCCCCTTTAGGCAGCTCTTTTAAAATAGACAGCACTTTTAAAATAGACAGCATTTTTTTATATACCCTTTAACAGCGCTTTATGTTATTTTTTAAGTTAGGCTTTAGACAACGTTTGTCTTTAAAAGCGATGTCCATTCCCCCACTTTAGATAGTGCTTTTCCACTTTAGGTAGCGTTTTTTTTAACTTTTTACAGCGTTTTTCACTTAAAGCGCTATCTATTGATCACAATTTTTTTAAAATAAAATACCTATTTTGACTTACAAAAGCGCTGTCCAATATATATAATGCATTTTAATCAGATTTTAACCATATTTGAACCAGATTTTCACCATATTATGCACCATATTTGGTAGCTTTATTCCAATAAACTATGCATATGTAAAAATTCCATATATATATATATATATATATATATATATATATATATATATATATATATATATATATATATATATATATATATATATATATATATATATATATATATATATATATATATATATATATATTGATGATATATACAACAATAACTACAAAGTTTATGATACAAGTTAAAATTCTACAATTTGAAAATCCTAAAATTGAAAATTGATCTTACATCTACATCTTACTATCTTCGAAAACTCTCATAAAACAACAACAACATGAATATCTTAGCTCTATCTTCTACACATGCACCTATAAACCTGAAAGAAAAAAAACCAAATGATTGAAATTCATAACATGATAATATTAATGTTACACTTTATTTGAATTTAATTTATACTCAAAATTCGAAAGTTCTCATCAAAGGAAATAAGACAATATACCTTAGCTTATAAAATTCTCAACCCAGTAATGAATTGACACCATTCCTCCTTAAATTCATCTAATTGATCTTTTGAGTAATATGCACAATTAAATTCCTCAAAGCACTATATATATAATAATATAACATAGTATGTGATTTAGTTAAAACAATATGTCATTTTATGAGAAACACAAAATATGAAAATAATATGTAATTCC